CTGGTACCAGGAAGAAAGCAGGGTTAAAGCCTCTGAAGGCACTCTCTTTTCGATGGAGGGATGAATATGCTACTCCTACTTTAGGTGAAGATTTTTCGTCTTATCTTTGATTCGTGTTATTCTGTGTCATTAAGATGAGTTTCATCTCAAAGCTTGAAATGTTTATCTTTAATTTTGTTAACATCTCAAATTTGGGTTGTTCAGTTTCGCCAAGGGCCCCTGTGAAAAGACCAATAGCAGGATCTCAGATACCTTACTGTCCACCAGGGAAGAAGATGTCAGATTGCTGGTCACCTATTGATCCTAACACTTTCAAAGTACGAGGTCATAATTTTCTCAGGTGACGAAATAATCCACAACTGATAAGTATTTTTTACATGAAATGTAATTGTAACTTGGGTGTATATGCTATGCCTTGAATCATCCAAAATTCTCTTGTGTCAGGGATAAAAGGAAGGATTTGGCTCCAAACCATGCTGCTTTTTATCCATTTGGTGTTGATGTCTTTCGATCTCATCGCAAAATTAATCACATTGCTCGTTTTGTGGAGCTCCCACCCATAAGTTCTTCAGGAAAAATTCCTCCTATCCTTGTTGTGAACATACAGGTGCTCACCTTTTGATAAACTTCCACCTAAGAGCTATCTGACATTTTGACAGTAGTTTTTATGGGGTTAACTTAAGTTGTTTCTTCGGTTTTTTTTTCTTTGTTTATGTTCAGATGCCACTGTATCCGGCTTCAGTCTTCAACCGTGAGCATGATGGAGAAGGAATGAACATTGTTCTCTATTTTAGGCTTTCTGAAAGCTTCTCCAAGGATTTACCTCGTCAGTTCCAAGACAATGTCAGGGTAAGAAGCAATCACTGCAAACTTTTCTTATTTGTGGCTTAACTTTACCAGTATGAACTCGATAATTGTACATCTTCAATATGATCCTATTCATGCTGATCGATTGTCAAAATATATATGCCAAAAGTTTCACTTAATTTAATTTGATTTGTTAATCCTCAACTGCAATAATTTTTTTTTTAATTCTTGTATCAAAATACTTCAAGGCAGTTGATTCATATTAATATGTGTGTTTTCACTTTCTTAATCAGAGATTGATACTGGATGAGACAGAGAAAGTCAAGGGTTTTTCAGCAGAGACAACAGCACCCTTTAGAGAAAGACTTAAGATCTTGGGACGTCTAGCGAATGTAGAGGAGCTCAGTCTGAATGCTGCAGAGAAGAGGCTACTTAACGCATACAATGAGAAACCTGTCCTGTCACGCCCTCAGCATGAGTTTTATTCAGTAAGAAATTTTCATATTTTAGCTTTCAAGTTACTATTCATACCTATAATCTGAACATTGTATCATATGCTATGAAAATTATGGTTTTCTAATTACTACAACTTATACAGGGAGAAAACTACTTTGAGATAGATTTGGACGTGCACAGATTTAGCTATATTTGTAGGAAAGGTCTTGATTCGATCCAAAACAGATTAAGTCATTCTGTTTTGGATTTCGGCCTCACCATTCAGGTACTTGTTTCTTTAGGTAGTCAAGTACAGATTAGTATTTTCTGATGAAATTATTTTGACATATTTATGATATAATAATCAGGGACACAAACCTGAGGATTTGCCGGAGCATCTGTTATGTTGTGTAAGGTTGAATGAAATCGATTACACCAACTACCGTCACTTGGCAGTTTGAGTTGAGATGTTCAAAAGAGGGGAGAATCTCTAAGTCATGCTCTTTTCATCCCAAAAGAACAAGTAAAAGAAAAGGCCTATATTCACCTGTTTCTGTGTTTCTCCTCTCATTTCCTGATTCCGCCCCTAAAAGGAAGGAGGTGTGAAATACCTATGTTTCTCATTTTTGTTCCTCTTCATTTAACCTTGTATTCCAATGTAATTATAAAAAAAAATGTATGTAAACTCCGGCGTATATTCTATCACCTCTCAAAGATTGCAAAAAGCACAATTCTCAATGAAAATATCCTGCTGTTTTTAAACCAAATGAATAACATAACAGAACAAGCCATTAGCTTATTCCATGTTTATTCCAGTTAGAAAGAAAAAACAGCATCAAATCTGGGAAATTCCAACAATTTTGAATCAGTAGCCTAATCCAAAAAAAAAAATGAAAGAAAAGAAAGGGCCAATTTGTTCAAAATTAGTAGTCTAAGATGTCATCAAAAGCAGGAAAATCTAACTGTATCTCGTTGTCACGATCCAATAGAGTCTTAACAAAGGAGTTCACTGACGAAGGCTCATAGTCATAGTAGCTGCTTGTTACAGTATTCTTAGCTGCACTTTTACTCTCTGGCATCCCAAACTTGTCATCTGTAACCTTGCTGTTTGAATGGTTAGCACCAATGAGCTGGAATTGCGATGATTTCTCCTGGATTTGGGGAGGTGAATCTGCTGCTAGAAAGCCCTGGTAGCTGTGCTCTTCCTCTGTAATGTCAGTAACTAGAAGAGGGTCAACAGAGTTTTTCTGTCCCCAGCTGTAAGCTGCAGTTGGCATCAGCAGGTGTGAGCTCGATTTTCCATTTGAGATTGATGATGTAGAGGACGATGAGGATGAAGGTGATACTTCTTCTAAAATATAATGGTTAAAAGAGGTAACATCTTGGAACTGAGTTCCTGGATTATCAGATGGTGATATCTTACATTGAGAGGAGAAAGAATTGGTTATGTTTTGGTCAAGAGATCTGATTTGGTGGTTGTTTGATAGGCAGCTGATGCTTTCATAATCAGATAGTATTTTTGAGATGGGTTTATGAGTAACAGGGTCAATTCCCATTTTAGCAAGCTTCTTTTTCAGCTTGGTGTTCCAGTAGTTCTTCACATCGTTATCTGTTCTTCCTGGCAGATGTTTCGCAATTAAGGACCACCTGCGCTAATTTAATAACAGACCAACAGACTGGAAATTAAGGATGAATTTTCTGACATTTATCGACAAGAATCAGTGAAAGATAGAATGCTGTGCATTTAATGTATGCTGAAATCAAAGAAAAGATCCATAAGAAGCACCTGCTGCCTATAGCTGCATGGTACTGAATGATGAGCTGCTCTTCTTGTTCCGTGAATTCTTCATGCTTAAGGTCAGGCCTTAGGTAGTTAGTCCACCTAAGCCTGCAACTCTTACCGCATCTATTAAGTCCTATAAAAACAACTAATTCATTAATATGCACAAACCCTAAATAATTAGTAAGAGAGAACAGCAAAAACCTAAGCAAAACAAAGCACATTATTAAGATCTTCAAAACACAGCATGGGCTGATAATGACATATAACGCGACATTAGACATTTTCTGCATAACACAGGGAGTTGTTACTCGATAATAAGATTTTTACTCGTCACTGTCATGTACCCCTCTCACAGCTCCTAAGGGGAACTGTTGGAATTACAATAAATTAATGTTAATTAAATAACTTTTGATAACATGATCTGTGGCAAAAAGCTCCAGTAAACATTAAAATGTCCTCCATATTATTCCTCTATATCCCTGAAAAAACTCCCCATTTGTCCCCCCAAGATACCCTGATGTACAAAGCACATTCTCACAATTAGAAAATAGGCAAAACTCTATGATAACGTGTTATAATAAAAATAATATATTTCCGATATTTAAACCTAAGTTACAGGCCAATGTCATTCAGGTGTCTGTACACATATCAGGGTATGAGCAAATGTTAATAAACGCAAAGGCTGATAAGAAGCATTCCTTGAGTGAGTGAGTGAGTGAGTGAGGGGGGGGGGGGTGCAGGAAAGGCAAAGTCACCGAAGATTTACCTGCTTTCTTAGGAACCTGAGTCCAATTACCGACTCCATGGTTAGATACATATGCAAGTATCTTAGCATCTTCTTCTGGAGTCCAGAGGCCTTTCTTGACGTTTGCTTTATCGCAGCAAGGAGGCCTCCCCATCTTCAGATCAGCGCGCACAAGCACAAGCAGCAGCAGCAAGGAAAATGAGAGAAAGAGAAAAGGAATGATGAAGTTGATGTAATGATGTGATGCAATGTTCACACCGTTTTTAACTCTTATAGAATCAAAGAAGAAACAATTAACAACTCTCAAGGCAAGCATTGCATGCAAATGGGGATCCCAATTAACGACATTCGCATGACATCTTTTTTTCCTTGTAATTAAAGCCCATTTTTTTGAATTGAAATCAGCTCTAATTAAATCTGCATGCATATGGCAACATATATAACTGTAAATTGTACAAACCTTTATACTAGTATCACGAGCAAAAACTGTCACAAACTTGAAGCTTTAGTACAACCTGCTGACATGGAATAAATGTTTCTTTCCAGTAATTCATTAAATTTGTTCATTTTTTTACTTTCTGCAATCCAAATCAGCAATGTAAAAGTATTGTACGGTGACTGGCGCGAATAGATACAGTTATCAGATAAATAAGATCTGCAGATTATCTCATATCACATATCAGTACTGATTACTAACAGTGGTATCCAAATGTCATATGCAATCTTGCAATACTGATTTGATAAGAGAACTGTGCACATATAATAAGTGCTCTTCATGGTAACCACTATCATCTACTACAAAATGCATTCGAAGGGAGGTTGTTCACTAATTAATTCTTCGTACTTCAATTCATAGGTAATAGCTGGTTATTTAATTGCTTCTTCCATTTTTATTTGCACCATTCACGTAATTTACTTCTACAAATTCAAGAAAAAATCAACAATAAAATCAAGAAAACAATCATGTATGTAATAGGATGTTACTAGATTCGTCTTAAAATATTATATTTACAATAACAAATTTTAATAATTTTCACTTGTATATAATTAAAGTCCACATTAACAAGTGTGAGTAGCAATGATGCAACTAAAAAATAACAGTAGTACATAGTATATAACTTTGTCATTATTTATCTTTAACGCTAACTGCTTTATACATTGTTAGGTAGTCATTACTTTATAAACACCAACAAGTATTCAATGTCATAAACAAAAAGACAAATATCTATGTTTTGGAAGGAACAGTGCTTAATGAAGGAAGAAAACCTGCATTCGCGGCGGCCAGCGGCTGCTATGGAATAATACAGATAAAAATATAGAATACTCTATCTCCATCAATTTCATGCTGAATAACTACAAGCTTACAGTACAGAAAGTTTAATACAAAAAGGGGAGACGAAATTCAATCCAAGGTTGTGGCTCTCTGTTTCTAATAGAAGCAACATTTATCTACAACTATCTCAGCATCAGATGTGACTGGTGATCCATAGTTAAACAAAACTCATCCCTAAAAAAAGAAAAGAAGATAACTCATCCACAAATGGAATGACTGATGTATATGCTCAGCAAACATTGCAGCTCTTTCTGCAATGTCCCTTTGATTTTTCGCTGCCTACCATGTACACAGGGTTCTTTTCACACTCCCCTGCTTGTGCCCACTGAGTACAGTGCACATTTTTATCTGTACATTCTCCAGAAGACTTATCTTCTAAAGATCTGTCAAAAGACCGAACGTGAATCCACTTAGTTGCAGACCACTTCTCACCCTCAATGACAGGGCAGCTACCATGCAAGCTCATTGGATCAGTAGTTGCATCGGGATGAAGACTGAAAAACATCAATGCATCACCCTTACTGGGTTTCACTGCATGCAAGGACATATCAAAAACTGTAAGGAAATTACTTGGGCAAGATGATGAGAATGTGAAAGAGTTTCTAGTTGAAATGTGAAAATGTTGATGCTGCTAAAAACTCTACAGGCTGTAACAGCCACAGAGGGCGAAGGTCTGAATTCATAAACTTAAAGGTCTCTATAGCCACACACTTGATTTATCGCATGGATTAGTGTACAAATAAGTAAATTTATTGTATGGATTAGTGTACAAATAAGGTCAAAGTTCGGTAAAATCTCAGATAAGATTAGACCAAATCACGTCACATAAGATCAAATCAGATGAACTGAACATAGCCTAAATTTCCTAATGTCTTACTAGTTTAATTGATGGGGAGAGAATGGAAATAACACAACTGCTACAAAGGGTCTTTTGTAAAACCATGACATATCCCTGAGAGTTTATGACATTGTAACATCTTTGGGTGAGGGGGGAAGGGGGGAGGGAGGATTTTTCTGTGCAAAAAACCTAAAAGTATATAACACACAATATAAAAGCAGCAATGCTACAAACACCATGAAAGTGAAAGTTTGTGAACGAGAATCAGATCCAAAATAAAAGGATGTTCTACAATATATATTATTCTAAAACTCTAAGAGAGCATTTAATATTTAGATCACTTTTTTTCTTTATCTGTTTTTTGGAAAGGGTTATATTTGGATCACTTAATAGCACAGAAGCGATGTAAGATATGCAAAGCAGTAAATACCGAAACTTCTTAGAAAACCATACAAGGAATTTAGAAGTCTTTTTTTTTGGATAACTCCGGCAAAAACTGTACTGAGGTATACCTGCATAGCCACCTTTAGCACAATCAGACCAGCTTTCATTTTTCGGTTGGTTCAGTTTTCCCTGGACAAAACATTGAATTAGACAAACTTCTGGAGAAAGAATGAAAGTCAAGAAAAAAAATAAAAATTTACCTCTGCGTTGGGAAAGACAGTTTCTCCACCCTTTTCAACATAAGACAAGTACATCAGCACAGTAGCAATCCGGTGGCCACCTAGCTGCTGATTGACCTTATCATGAAAGTAATCAAAATGGGGCTCATACTTTTGACCAAGCTCATAGCGAAGGACTTGCATGGCCTCCCCATTTTCTGAACAGTGATGACAATATATAAGTTATTTATTCAATAAGATCCAACTTAAGCAGCACAATAAGGCCTGATGTACAGCAATATTCACCTGGAGGAAGGAAAGTCCAGGCAGCAATTCTTGCCTCGATTCTAGTGACTACATCATCCTTCAGAGGCAACACAAAGGGTGAATGTAAGTATTTCAGATTTTGATTTGAAATATATGCATAGATATAGAATTGACATAAATCAGCAAAATTAGCTTTGTACAATTGTACCACATGAAGTATTATACACAACATACTAATTTGAAGTATTTTCTACATTTTCACAAAGACTCTAGAAAAGATATGAAAATATCCCTCAAAGAAAGGTTAGGTTAAATTTTGGCATGACAAGAACAAGGATCCACTAAAAGTAGCAACAGAAGTTCATTAACAAAACGCAACAGAAAAGAGACATCCAAACAAAACCTCGGATAATAAGAAACACAAAAATAAGAAAAGCTACTTAGTGCTGCCTCTTCCATCTCTAAGGCCCATTAATGAATTTTTTGTGGCCCTAATGAAAAAATACTTGAATTTATAATCACACAAAAAAGGATTCGAGTATGCAAAACATTACATTGATACACAATACTTTTTTATACAATTTTTTTTATTTATTAATAATACAGTAATTCTCTTATAAAATGTTTCTTTGAGCATCTCTATATGCAATGCCACCTACATCAATATGCTCTAACATATTTCTTTAAATTTATAAAAGGGCTAAACCATTCAACCTTTCTCAAGAGATTGACTCTCACAAGCATGTTTCCAATTATTTCAGCTTTGACAAAACTTCTTTCAACAAATGCAACAAAACGACATAGTTAATAAGATCCGGTATGCAATTGAAAATTTGAAACACTTGTAATATAATTGGTACCTTTGACAAAGTCAAGAATTCATATGCCGAAATCAACACATTTGGCAAAGTCATTTACAATACTTAAAATTCCGAAAAATAAAAATCATCCGCATCAACATCGGTCAAATTATTACATGAAAAAGTAATGTTAAAATTTATGTAAGATTTTCTTAATTCATCATTATTTAGTGATTTCAACTTGTTTTTGAGTCAAATAAAATTTCCAAAAAATTTCATATACTTATAATTGCCCAAATATATTCTTCAAAGAACTAATTGACATATCCACAACTACCAAAATATATAATTGACTCTTAAAAATTTATCGGTTGATTGTATTCTTTCATCATTGATTCATCAAATAGTTTTATTATAAAAATTGGAGTTGCAATGAAATAAGTGAAAGGTAATATCTTATATTTTGAAGAGCATAGAAAAAAAAAAAGGCGTTAAATGTAGCATAAATATATTCAAAAGCCTTCATTTGACATAAATATAGCGCCTACACTTTCAACAAAAAAAGTCAATTTTTAGAAAATTAACAATTTGATAGACTAATGGGTATGCAGATAAAATACGATCAACCCAAGGAATCTTTTGGAGACAATTATTTTATGGTGGTTGTGGATATAGGGAGAAGAGAGAAAGAGAGGTGGTACCAATGCTTGAACCCTGGACCTAGACTTCAGAGGTTTCATTCTCTTACCACTAGTCCACAAGGTAAGCTAGTTGGTGGTTGTGGATATGACAATTACTTTTTTGAAAAATAGATTTGAGCAATTAGAGGCACTTGTAAATAAATAAATAAATAAAAAAAAAAAGTTGAATTGTTATTTGACTCAAACAAGTTATAATCATAGGATGATAATGAATTAAGAAAATTTTGTATGAATTTCAACACAACTTTTTCTCATAATAATTTAATGGATATTGATGCAGCCGAATTTTCGTATTTTAGAACTAAAAGTATTGCAAATGACTGTTAATTGTGTTGATGTCACATCTGAAATTCTAGAGTTTGTCAAAGGTGCCATTTGTTTTCCAAATGTTTCAATTGCTTATCGAATCCAATTATCTATTTTCATAACTAGTGCATCTAAAAGAAGTTTTTCAAAGTTGAGTTATTGAAAAACTACTTGGGATCAAGAAAAGTTGAATGGCTAGCCATTTTATGTATTTAGATGTAGAAATTATTACTATTAATCTAGAATAGCTCAAAGGAAATGTTTTGTATGAGAAATATTGTTTTAAGTAAATTATAGGAAAAATTGCCCCCATTAATCCCAATTTTGTCTCGTCCGCCAATAATAATCCCTAGTTTGGATTATTCACCATCACTCCCAAGTCCCAACTTTAGGGGGTATTAATTTCTATTGCACCCAACCGGTCATTTAACTCGATGTAGCAGGTTACCTAGACATGTGATGTCAGCGTATGATTGGCTTAAAAACTTTTAAAAAAAAAAAAACCACAAACCCACCCATGCCCAGCAGCTGCCTTCGGACCCCCACCCCCACCCCGCCGGAAAACACCATACCCCCACCCCAACCGGAAAATCAGCCCCATCCCTGAAAACCCCTCCCCCGCTGCCGGAAACCGCCCAGCCCTCCCCTTCCCTCGAAACCCACCCCTTCCCTTCCCCCACCCCCGAAAACCCCTCCCCCGCTCCCGGAAACTACCGCCCAGCCCTCCCCCTCCCTCGAAACTCACCCATTCCCTTCCCCCACCTCTCCCACCCCCGAAAACCCCTCCCCCCTGTTTCCGTTTCCGTTGTTTCCCCCTCGTCGTTTCCGCTCCCTTCCCCCTTCTTTTCCGCCTCGAAATTCGGCCTCCTTTCCTTTATCCTCCCCGAATCCGTATGCCATTAACGGTGGCTGCCGTTTGGTTGGCTGTTTTTTTTTGTTTTTTTATTTGACCATTCACGTAGTGACACGTGCAAAAAAAAATCTAAAACACAAATGTTGACCGGATTAACCGGTTGCAGGTAAGTTGGGTGCAATAGGAACTAATGGGGGACAAAGTTGGGAGTGATGGTGAATAATCGAAAGTATGGACTATTATTGGTGGACGAGACAAAGTTTGGATTAATGGGGGCAATTTTTCCTTAAATTTTTTTTTTTTTTATTTTTTTTTTACATCCGTGAATAATTTTTTTTTGATAATAAATTTAAGTTTTAGTCAATTAGGGATCCATTTTTGAGATTCTCCCTTAGGCCACAAAAGTCTTAGAAACGTGCCTGCACTAATAGTCTACTACCCTAATACCATTATTTGATCCCTGTTACCTTGCACACTGATAATATACTTGTTAATATATCCTGAGGCTATATGTTCAAATGGAATATTAAGGAGAATGGCAAAGAAAGCTTTTTAAAAAGTCAGACAGGGTATGGACCGATGGACGGTTGCTTTTCTTACAAACTATAGCTTTGAAGTATATTTCTTTCCGGAGGGAAAGTTTGACAATTCTCCTCCTCAGCTCTCTTATGTATTTTGACATTCACACTGGTAGGAAGCTAGTATAGAAGCTAAAACACTTGAAAATCGCATTGAAAGACATTAGTCAAGGATTTTAACTAAAGATCACTTATAAATGCTTTAGTGGCTAACTTTGTAATTGGATCCTTTCCCTGAGCTGATGAAGAGGTAAGAGAAAGGTTGAATATTATGACACTCATAAAGCCACTATAAACTATATGAAACAAAGTCTAAAATGGATTGGCTTAAGGCTGGGGATTATATTCTGCAATGTTTGACAGGTAATTAAAGCAGAGAAGAGCTTGGAAGTTGGAATTCTATTCATGCAATCGAGAATGAGAATGGTGCATGGGTGAATAATCCAAAATATGGGGATGATACTTTCCCATATAATAAATCTTTTGTTAGGCACTGCTATGACAGAAGGGAAGGTAAACAAAACAGTTAATGGAGCTAGGCATGTGGTATCTCAGGATCATTGTCAGATATTTCTTTGCTTGCCCCATACTCAGCTAGAGAAACTAAAGATGCTTTACTATCTATTCCTGGAACTAAGGCACTTGGGCCAGCTGTTATAGCAGCTATTTTTCAAAGATGCATAAAATATAATAGGTACTGATCTTACTAATATTATTCTTCCCTATCTTATTACTGGTAGGCTCTAAAAGTGATTAAATGTGACTTCTACTATTCTGATTCCTAAAAGTAATGAGAGTGGTAAGATCAATCTCATGCTGTAATGTGGTCTATAAAGGTGATTACCAAGATACATGGCAATGGGAATTACTTGTTTTTGCTTTACTGATGATACAATTCTATTTTGAAGAAATATTAAATCAACTACGCTGAAGATGAGGGTCTGAATTAGTTCTCTGAAACTTCAGTCCTCCAAGTTAATGAGGACAAAACTGCTTCTTATTACTCTGGTATGTCTCAAGAGCAGATTGACTCTGCAAAGAATTTCTGGTCTTACCACCAGAAGTTCAATCCCTTGTAAATTATTCGGGAATCCCTATTTGTGCGAAAAGGCTCTAGGTAAAGTAAGGTGAAACCAATCAAACGATTGCTAAGACAAAGGTGACTAGAACATAAGTTTGGAGCTCAAGAAATCTTTCGAATGCTCAAAGGTTACAGATAGTCGATTATGTATTACTGAGCATTCACATTTACTGGACATTACCTTAAGCAAGATTTGAGAGAATAAATAATATCTGCAGGGGTTGCATTCGGCATTGCTCTTAAGATAAGCAAGGCCCTGATATGTATTGTGTGAAAATGTTTGCAAGTCCAAAGCTACTGCAAGGATTGGGTTTGATAAAAATTAATACATGGAATGTTGCTGCCATTAAAAAGCTTGTGTGGGTAAAGGGGATCTAGTGAGGCTTGTTGTTCCAAAGCATAGATTTTGCGGCTGGGTTGCTGTTCTGAAGAGATTAAACAACAACGACAGGCTTTGCAAAGATGAGAATTTGTGTTGATCAAAGTAGTCCTATATGTGCAGGGGTGGCTAATAAATCCCATCAGCATCAGTTCTTTGAGCGTATACATTCAAAGGTGTTTTGTAGCAAAGAGATACTTGTACGGTATCAAGCGCAGAACATGAGGCATTCTTGAAATGTTGAGATGGATATCTACTATCTAGATGCATATTGAGCAAGTTTAGAAAGTTGTGCTTTATTCAGTTATTCTAGCAACAGAAACAAGCAAACAACCATTTAGTATTTTGATCAACTCTACAGCAAATAATAGCAAATGTTTAAAATTTCAAATAAATCACCTAAAACAACATAATAAAAACAATCATGTTTCCGCTAGGAATGAAATGCAAAGAACAAACCAGCTAGCTAGTGAAACAACATTAAGATATGCGCTAGACTGAATTCAAAACTCTCATAGCCAACAATAAGAATCACTATGTAACCACTAAAATTGATAAAACTTGCCATGTTTACAACAGCCATATATTTAGTGTGCATTTTGTTTTAATTAAAAATTTTCACTTATCTAAACTAACCTAACTTACTTGAACTTATTTAATTGTAAATTAAACCTCGGTGGTAACCCTTATCTAAACTAACTTTTTCCTTGGCCAAACTTATCAGAACTAATAAGGTGATAAGAGCATGCCCTTAAAATCCATATCACATAATACACAAAATTCGCCAATTCGAAGTTTCTCAAGGATAACATAATTTACATAGTAGTATCATGACATAAAGAGACTATTACTCAACCACATTAAGCAATTATAAAATAATCAAACAAAGTAGTTACAAGATTTGGCAAAAAAACACAAACCTGACCCTTTTGAAGAAACATGCCAGAACTAGTCCTCACTTCACTTGGTATACTCTTTCCAGACTCGTTATCAGCCACCATTGATTTCTCCAATTTATCCTTTGCCTAATTCAATAAAAAAATAATAAAAAAAAAATAAAAAAAATCCCACCATTTATTAAAAATTTACACAAACAAACAATAATCATAAATAATAAATAATTAATTTTTGATTATATAAAACCTAACCAATTGGATAAGATGATCACATTCTTCATGGGTTAAAAAACCCTTGTACAGAAATGCCCTGAAAATTCAACAATTATTACAATCATTAAATACATCATTGAAGATTTGAAGATAAGAAAAATGAAAGATAAGAAAAACCTGGGATGCCATGATAGCTGAGTGACGCGAGTAGGATCAAACCCATATAAAGTATTATAAACAGTCGCACTCTTCAATTTAAGCACAGATTCTTGACGCCTGAAAAATTAATAATGATTATATATCAAAATTTAAAACGCATTTTTAAAATTTTGATTCCCAGAAAATGAAGATTGAAAATAGAAGAATACTTGTTGTTGCTGAACCATCCGGCAAGAGAAAGCTGAGGGAAAATCACGAGAAAAGATAGAAAAATTAATGGGAATTTTCGAATTTCCATGATCAAATCAAATTGCACCCAGAATTCAAAGAAATTTGAGCAATGTGGGTGATTTTAATTTTGATTAGTGTTGATAATTGTTGAAGATGAAGAAGAGAAAATTATGGGGAATATTGAAGACGTAAATGTAGAATGTGGAAATGTGGAGTGTTTATGTTGGGTTGAATAGTCGAATTGAAACGAAGAGCACCACCCACAGAATTGGGATTCCAAGTGTCAGAAATTTTTAAAAAGTTGTCTTGTCTGGAAGTTTCGTTTCTTCGGTCACATTAATGTTACACTTTGACTCGTTCGTTAACTTATCATTACATTCATTATAGATTTAGGCTCTATACACGAATATATACGAACTGTGTGTTGCTATAAGATGGGCACGGGCCGTGTCGGCACATGGGCGGCACGACTCCAGCACAGCCCGGCACGGCACAATGGCCCACTTGTGGGTCGTGGGTCATGCATGAACAAAAAATAAATTAAAATCCGGCACGAGCACGCCGATCAGCACAATCGTCGGCCGTCGGAACGGCCCATGTCCGATTGTATAAACTTAGGGCATGTTCTCTTACGTTGAAATTCAGTTCAATTTCAGTTCAGTTCAGTTCAGCTCAGTTTAGTTCAGTTCAGCTGAGTTCAGTCAATGAGAACAGCCCCTTATTTAATTAAGTTTACTTATATAAACTTATTTAATTAATTAAATAAACTTATTTAATTAATTAAATAAACTTATTGAATTAATTAAATAAACTTATTTAATTAATTAAATAAACTTATTTAATTAATTAAATAAACTTATTTAATTAATTAAATAAACTTATTTAATTAAATAAACTTATTTAATTAATAAATAAACTTATTTAATTAATTAAATAAACTTATTTAATTAATTAAATAAACTTATTTAATTAATTAAATAAACTTATTTAATTAATTAAATAAACTTATTTAATTAATTAAATAAACTTATTTAATTAATTAAATAAACTTATTTAATTAAATAAACTTATTTAATTAAATAAACTTATTTAATTAATAAATAAACTTATTTAATTAATAAATAAATAAGTTTATTTATATAAACTTATTTAATTAAGTTTATTTATATTAACTTATTTAATTAAATTTATATAAACTTAAACATAAATTAATTATATAAAATTAATTAAATTAAATTTTTTCAAAAAAAAACATATATTAACATTAACATAAACATAAATTAATAACATTATTTATATAAAATTAAGTTGTACGAAAAAATATATATATCGTATTTTTATTTAAATTTATTTTTAAAAAACGGTTTGGCACGCGGCCCGGCCCGCCAGGCACATGGGCCGTGCCATGCCGTGGGCTGGGGGTGTGCCAAATTTTGGCACGGCACGGCACGACACGACAACCACCCCGGCACGGCTCACGAAGGTACGGCACAATGCCCATCTTTAACCACATTGTATGGTCATTCATAAAAGGACAAAGTAACTCATATAACATTGAATAAGTAACCTCTATAACACTAACCAAGTAACCTTATAACACTGACAAAATAATTCCTTTAACACTGATCAAGTAACCACTATTACATTACGAATTAAGTTCAATTAAGTAAAAATTAGTAACTTTAAAGAATATATATATATATATAAGGCCCTGTTTACTTCACCTTAAAAAAATAATATTCAGTAAAAATAATTTCAGTTCAGTAAATATAATTTCAGTTCAGTAAAAATAATTTCAGTTCAGTAAAATTAAGTTCAGTTAAGTAAAAAAAAAATCAGTTGAATAAAATTCAGTACCTTTAAGAAGAAAATATAACAGAGAATCAGTAAAAATAATTTTAGCTTAGCAAAAATAATTTAAGTTTAGTAAAATTAATTCCAGTTCAGTAAAAAGTAATTTAAATTCAACAAAAATAATTTCAGTTCAAGTAAAATAATTTCAGTTCAGCAAAAATAAGGTGAAGTGAACGAGGCCTAACAGGAAATTAGCAAAAATATTATCAATTCATAAAAAATAATTTCAGTTTAGTAAAAAAATAATTTAATAAATTCAACATAAATAGTTTCAGTTAATTAAAAATAATTTAAGTTCAGCAAAAATGAGGTGAAGTTAACAAGGTCTTATAGAGTTAGACCCTGTTCAATTCCTTAAAAAATTATATTAAGTAAAAGTAATTTTAGTTTAGTAAAAATAAGTTCAGTTCAATAAAATTGATTTCAATTCAGTAAAAATAATTTCAGTTCAGTAAAAATAAGTTCTGTTTCGGGGTTTTCTGATGTCCTGCGGGAGAGTTACAATTCCGAGACTGGAACCGGACGCCTGTACCTGCAAAATAACGGAGACTCCTGAGAGCTCCGCCTCCAACGGTCAAGTTAGTACCTGATTAAGGAGTAATTAATACGGAAATTAAAGTAATAAGATCTCTCTAGGTGAGAGTGCTTAGTGTTGGTAATCTGCGTCGTTAGCGAGATTAGGCGGTTGTTGGTGTTCCGTAATATCTCTGTTCTTCTCTGCTGGATTTCTTGATGTCTCGATTCCCCAACTAATGAGGATTAATTAAGTATTTATAGCCTTGAGAAGCGTGCCACTCTCTAGGTTTAAGGTAAACCTAGGGCTGATCGGGCCTCTAGACTGGATTGGGCCTTGATGGCCGGTTTTCCCATTTGGCATGGGTGGACACGTGGCGTGCCTCGATTGATCCGTAGAGGACGTATCTGTGACTGACACGTGGCAGGCTCCTATTGGCCTTCGTGAAGGACACGTGGCGGAACCTGGTTGGTCCACTTGTCAGACGGTGATTGGTGGATAAAAATCCCCTAATCATTTGCCCCTCACAGGTGGCACGTGACTGGTCACGTGTCGCCTGTGACAGGTGTCGCACGGTGACAGGCGACGGCCTGCTACAGGTGTCACCTTGCAAACGGCCGAGAGATTTTCCCGCCCAAATTTTGAATTTGGAAGCGACCCTTCGCCTTCTCACTTTGCCTATAAAAGGAAGTGCTGACTTCGGTCATTTTCACATTTGAGAATTTTGCGAGAACATTCGGACCCCTGAACTTGCTCTGACATTTCGGACCTTTTCTGCCTACCGCCTGTTCTGACAAGCCGATTGCACCGGACTTCCAGAACTTCATCAACCGTCACCCGTTCAGGTAACTCAGTTCTCTTACTCTTAATTTTCTTTTTATTTTTTGAATGGCACCACGGAAGCACACGACACGACCTAAGTTAGTGATCAGCCGGTCACCGGGGACGGCTGAATCTAGGACTAGGAGTGCCGCCTGCCCTTTTCTGGACCCATCTTTGCCCTTTATACAAAGTCCGACAGTATATGTGTCTATGCAGAACGTGATGGCCAGAACGAAACAGACTGCTATGATATCAAACTCAGACGGCTCCTCCCAAAGGGTGCTCCTTAGTGAAACATCTGACCAGGCGCCAGATGTAGAATTGAAATGAGACGGCTGCCAAGCCGACAGTTCTGAGAGAGGGGCCAAGGTGGTCCCTTCCCATCTTACCGTTGACATGTCTAATTTTCCTCCTGCTCCTTCTAAGGGGGAGGAGGCGGGCCCCTCTGGGAGAGGGGAGGAGTCGTCCTCTTCGGACTCGTCAGAGGACGAGTCCGAGTCCAGCTCTTCTGGCCACAGTTCTCCAGGCTCAGAAGAAAGACATAGCCGCCTACAAGAGGCGAGACTTTCTCATGCAGTTGAGAAGGGGGACAATTGGGCGGAGCCGTCCGCCTCTTACAGAGAGGAGAACGCCCCCTACTACTGCATGGTACCCCGGGGCCGGATCGCAACCATGCAAGACAAAGTGGCGAGCTTTATTGCTAACCACAGAATGGGCCCGGAATTTTTACTGTTCGTGCCGGATCCAGAAGACACTGTCGTCTGGCCGGATGGTACCAACTATGATGACGGCTGCTTTGGCTGCTATGTGGCGGCCATCAAAGCTGGACTGCGCTTCCCATTACATCCGGCTGTTCAGCGGATTTTAGATGGGTATGATTTGGGGTTATGGCAGTTAGCCCCCAACTCTTGGGTAAACGTACTCGGCTATGTGGCCGGGTGCGAAATGTACGGGGTGGAGCCAAGCTTTGAGGCTTTCGCCCACATGAACTATCTCAGCCGGACCCCTAAGTCGGGAGGTACCGGCTGGTATCAATTAACAAGCCATAGGGGTTACCTCATGACGAGAGGTAAGGCGAACAAATGGAAGGATTGGCGGAACACCTTCCTTATCATTGAGGGTTCAGACACGGAGCTGAACCAACGTTTTAACAAGTGGAATAGGGATCCGCCTCTTCTGGCAGGCGGCCGAAGCATGCCGCCTGTTCCCCCAAAGGCTAAAAGAGAGATCCTAGACAAAGGACTCTTCAAAGTAGAGACTAGGGTGAACCCTACGTCAGGGGTACGAGAGCAAGTACCCCTAAACTGCATCCCGAGCTTCAAGTGGCTCTATGACGAGTACTTTTTGGCCGCCTGTGGCCTCAGCAGTCGGTGCTCTAGAGGTAGCCGGCCTGACAAATACTCTGTTTTTTCACGCCTTGTTTACTTAGGATTTTTACTAACTTTGCTGTTTATTTCTTGCAGCTGACGCCATGAGTAAAATAACAGCATCCAAGACTGCGGCGGCCATGTTGCGGGCCTCGCTCATGAAACAGTCTTATGCCGACTCCCCCAACAAGGGGGCACCCTTGGTAAGCTTCGAAAACTCTTCCTCTTTTAGTTGTCTTATGCATATACTAACTCTTTTTGTTTTCAGTCTGGCACTCCAAGGGCTTCTTCCTCGCAACAGCCGGACCCCAAGGCCCGGAGGACGACTGTTGCAAGCTCTCCTGGGTCTTCCAGGAAAACAGTGGCGGCTGAGAAGCAGCCGGCCACGTCTTCTAAAACCCCGGTGGGGCCGCCTAGAAGTATGGACAATCACTTGTAAAAACTTTCACACTTGCTTCCTTCTTGACTAGGTCTAACTTGTTTTTTTCTTTTCGCTTAATGCAGCCGGCCCTCAGGGGCTTGACTTGGTTGAGGTAGCCAAGTCCATGGTTAAAGTAGTTCCTCCATCTGAAAGGGAGGCGGTCAGGGGTGCCGGCACCCTTGACCTTGATGGGATTTCAGGGGTCCTTGCTGAGGTATACTTAGCATATTTTTGAGTTTTTGAGTTCCAGGACGCCTGTTATCTTTTTTGTTTGGAAGCTGACGCCTGTTTTTCTTTGTACTTAGGCCCTGCTCCGAGTCAACAGCCTTCGCAAGCCGAT